ATCATTGGAGGAAGTCAGAACAGGAACTCAAGCAGGGCAGGAGCTGATGCAGAGGCCATGGAGGAGTGCTGCTTACTGGCTTGCTCAGCCTGCTTTCTTATAGAACCCAGGACCACCAGCCCAGGGATGGCACCACCCACCATGGGCTGGGCCCTCCTCCATTGATCACTAATTGAGAAAATGCCTTATCTCTGGGTCTCATAGATGCATTTCCTGAACTGAGGCTCCTTCCTCTCTGATGATTCTAGCTTATGTCAAGTTGACATACAAAACCAGCCAGTACAGAAGGTTAGTTCATGTAATATCATGGTGAGGACTGTGGCAGCAGGCAAACATGGCTATGGAGCTGAGAGCTTACATCCTGATCTGCAGATGGCAGACAGAGAAAGAGACGGCGGTGGGGGGTGGGGGTGGGGGTGGGGGAGGAATGGACTGGCTTGGGCTTCTGAAACCTCAAAGCCCACCCCTCTTGACACGCCTGCACCAACAAGGCCACACCTCCTAATCTTTCCTTAACAGTCCGCCAACTGGGAACCAGACAGTCAAATATATGAATGGTGGGGGCCCTTTTCATTCAAACCACCACAACATGGCAGACATACTCCCAAGGTTTTTTTTAGGGGGAGCCGGGGTAGAGAGGGGTCCTGCCTAGCTAGGTTGGGTGCTGCCTTACCCAGGCATCCTCGTAATTCCATACAAGGACATGACATCCGTGTATTGGAAGTGTGATGTCCTGGATTTCACTTTGGGAAACAATGACTTGAGAAGCAGGAGTGTTTTCACTTTGTGCAACCTCCACGTGTCAATTCCCACTCTTTATCTCCTGAGCTTCAGAGGCCCTTCCTGAAAGCCCTGGCCTGCCTGTACCTGAAAGTGTTTTCTCCTTTTATTCTCATAGTCCGTGTGCCTGATTTCTGCTGGTGTGTGCTGCTTTTCTTACTGTACCTCAGTACGCTTTGAAATCAAGTATTTTGATACCCACAGCACTATTCTTTTTGCTTAGGATTGCTTTGGCTATTTGGGGTCCTTTGTTTCCCCTGTATGATTTTAGGATGGTTTCTTCTATTTCTTTTTTTCTTTCAGAGCTGAGGACCTAACTCAGGGCCTTGTGCTTGCTAGGCAAGCACCGCTGAGCCAAATCCCCAACCCGGTTTCTTCTATTTCTATGAAGAATGTAATTGGAATTTTGGTGGGGGGTTGTACTGTAGATCCTTTTCTGTGATATTGTCATTTAGACAGTATTAGTTCTGCTGGTCCGTGAGTTTGAGAGCTCTTTCCATTTCTGAATGTCTTCTATTTTATTAGTGTTTTTAAGTTTTCATCGTAGAAATGTTTCACTTCTTTAGTTAGGTTTATTTTTAGGTACTTTTTTAAAAGATTACTTTGAATGGGATTTTTTTTCTGATGTCTTTGGTCCATAGAAAATCTACTGGGGCTTTTGCGGGCGTGTGTGTGTGTGTGTGTGTGTGTGTGTGTGTGTGTGTGTGTGTGTGTGTGTATTTGCCTGTGCTTCTGATATGGAGGCCAGGGATCCTCTGGAGTCTTCCTCCATCTCCCCATCTGTTTCTGCCCCTTCCCCGACACTCCTTGCACGTGGTTTCAGATGTGTGCGACCACACCCAGCTTCTATACGGATGCTGGGGGTCTGTTCAGTCCTCAAGTTTGTGCAGCAAGGACTTAGCCACCGAGCATCTTCTCACCCCAAGCTAGTGATTTAGTGATAATATATATATATATATATATATATATATAATATTATATATGCATGTGTATATATGTTGACATTTTGTATCTTGCTACTTTGATGAAATTTAGTTATCAAATCTAAGAGTTTTGTAGATGGAGGTTTAGGGTTTTTGTTTGTTTGTTTTTCAAGACAGTGTTTCTCTGTATAACTGCCTAGGTTGTCCTGGAAATCACTCTGTAGACCATGCTAGCCTTGAACTCACAAAGATCCTCCTGCCTCTGTCCCCCTGCCATGTGCTGGGATTGAAACTGTCTACAACCACCCCTGGCTGCCTTAGTGTCTTTTAAGTATGGATTATATTGTTTGCAAGTAGAGAAACACTGACTTTTCTCTTTCTGTTTGTATTGCTTTTACTTCTTTTCCCCCATTGTCCCGACTAAGTCTTCAAGTACTATATTCTATAGATTACAAAGATTCTGCACAGAGGAGGAAATGATTAACAGAGCGAAGAGGAAGTCTACAATATGAGGTACGGGGAATATATCTGCCAGCTAGATACGTGACAAGTTATTAATATCTAAAATATATAAAGGACTGAAAACTAAATACCAAAAAAACTAGTCTGATCAATAAATGGGCAAATGGAATGAACAGACAGTTCCCTAGTGATGAAGTACAATGCCCAGTAAGTATATGAAAAAGTACTCAGTGGCCACAACCACGAGGTAAACAAAAATCAAAACCACACTCTCAGAGTCTGTCTCATCCCAGCCTAAATGGCCATCCTTAAAAACAACAACAAACAATAACAAGTGTTGGTGAGGATCCTGGGCAAGAAGGAACAGTATGGCCACTATGGAAATCAGCATGGAGGTTCCTCAAAGAACTAAAACCAAAACCACCACACAGTCCAGCTACACTGCTTCTGGGAATACACCCAAAGGGACTGACTTCTACACACCACAGAAGCACCTACAGGTCCATGTCTATCACTGCATTGCTCGAGGTATCCAGGTTGAGGACTCCAGCTAGGCATCCATTAATAGTTGAATAGATAAAGAACATGTGTTTCATAGCCACACAATAGAGTGCTATTCAGGCATTAAACAGGACACATTTATGGCCATTTGCCAGAAAACGGATGGCAGTGAAGATCATCATATTAAATAAAACAAGTCAAAATCAAGAAGACAATTATCTCATGTTTCTTCTCCTATGTAGAACCTAGATCTTCTACCGTGGAAGTATTGGGAAAGGAGGGAATGAGCAGGGGAGGGAAGGAGGACAGAGAGAATGGAGTGAGTACAGCCAACGGTCCACTTGAATGACATGTCTCTCTGAAACCCATGGTTTTGTACAGTGAATACTAACAGAGCCTTGAGAGTGAAAAGGAAGGCAGCAGGAGAGGGCAAATCCATCCTCTGGGCGTGGAGACCTGCTGTTTCAGGGTCCTCACTCTCAGCCAGGGTGACTTGGGACCGGTTGGCGATGGCCTTGCTGTGCAGTGCCTGGCTGGCTCAGATTCAGAACCCCAGCTTTGTTCCCAGTCCTCCTGACTGCTTTACTTTCTCTGTTGTTTTTTTGTGAAAGACCCCAACTCATCCGCATGCAGACATTTTGAAGAGAGCTCCCGAGTCTCAAACCTGAGGGTCTTTGGGTGTGCTAAGAATGCTCTGCTGCTGAGGGAAGGTCTCAGCTCTGAGGAGGTTTTTTTCTTTTGTGACAGGGTCTCACAATGTAGCTCTTGATGTCCTGGAACTCGATATGTAGACCAGGCTGGTCTTGAACTCAGAGATTCATTTGCCCTGTCTCCTGAGTGCTGAGATTAAAGGCAGGCACCATCATGGCCAACTTCTGAGAAGATTTTTTTTTTCATTTAAAATAATTTCTTATGCTTAGCAGGGAAATGAGCAACTGACGCTGTCAGTGTTTTCTTAAGTTTTACTTACTGCTTCTGGAAACATTGCTGTGGGGTCAGTGTTTGTTTAGAAGACTGAATGCTTTTCTAGTGTAGTGCAATGAATAATAGTGTAGAAGATATTCTTATCTATGGTCAGACTATCTCCTGATCATTTATTCTTTGTTGAATTATTGGCATAGATAGATTTCATAAAGTCTGAGAAGATTTTTTTAAATTAAAAAAATTATTATTGCCAGGTGTGGTGGCACATGCCTTTAATCCCACCACCCAGGAGGCAGAGACAGGTGGATCCCTGTGAGTTTCAGGCCAGCCTGGGCTACAAAGTGAGTTCCAGGACAGCCATGGCTCTTACACAGAGAAAACCTGTCTCAAAAAACAAAACAAGGCCGGGCGGTGGTGGTGCACGCCTTTAATCCCAGCACTCGGGAGGCAGAGGCAGGCGGATCTCTGTGAGTTCGAGGCCAGCCTGGGCTACCAAGTGAGCTCCAGGAAAGGCGCAAAGCTATACAGAGAAACCCTGTCTCGAAAAACCAAAAAAAAAAAAAACAAAAAAAACAAAACAAAACTTATTCTTTTATTTTATGTGTATGGGTGTTTTGCTTGCAAGTATGTCATGCATCTTGTGTGTGTAGTTCCCATGGCGGCCAGAAGAGGGTGTAGTGGAATATTAACAGGGCCATTGCTCCTGGCATTTATTCTGGCATGATGGCCACTTAGGCCTTGGAGTTATCTTTTGTAAATACCAGTGATTGTGATCTGAGATTTATGCGGTTGTTCTTTCTTGGGAATTTTAGAACCTTATTAGCATAACCTCAGTCATAAGACTTTTCTGGCAAACCTGGAATTCTTAGAATGACTGTGTTTGCTTAGTAATGGTTCCTTAAGACAACTTCTAGTTCAGATAAGAGATTTTGGTGTGTGGGAACTGACTTGCTAAATGGCCTTTTGTGTGTCGATTAACAGAGCTTCTGCAGAGCTCCTGGTCTGTCAGTCCATCGAGACACAGACTCCTCCTGCTGCCTTTGCTAACCCTCAATTACACTCTGGAGTGACCCCCTGTCTTTGACTGACCTGTGCAAAACAGAACACAGATAGTGTTGGAGGTTAGGGGTGGTTGTGCGCTGCCATGTGGGTGCTGGGAATTTTACCCAGGTCCTCCAGACGAGCAGCCAGTGCTCTTAACTGCTGAGCCGTCTCTCTAGCTGCAGAAGATTTTTACATCAGCATTCCTATCAGTTTTAAAAGGGGATTTTATTTTCTTGCAGGTGCCAGACCCCCAACTCTGACTCTTTTTTTTTTTTTTTTTTTTTCACATGTTCTTTTTATTCAAGGGTTTACTCACAGGCAGTATTTTAAGTCAGGCTTTTTAAATTAAAGGCCTAAACTACGAAATTTTGCAAATGTGACACTGGCAAAGAATGAGCGTCTGGATAATTTAAACCCTCATTATCCCGGAGTCCAAGTCTGTAACACGGAACGCGCAAGATCGGTACCATTCAAAACAAACAACTGAAAACCACAGGTGCTGGGTGAATTTGTCAATGAAGAGAAATGTCAGTTTCAGCCTTGCAGAGTATGAAACCAGCAACTAGTTCTTCGGTGGCAGAGCATCAGCTGGGCTTCAGAACTTTGCCTGTAAAGTCTCTTTCTCCATCATCAGATCTGCGTACCTCTGCTGAAGCTCTTTCTCTCGATCCTGTTGCCGCTGCACATCTTCCTTCAGACACTCTAGCCTCCGGGGAATAGCAGAGTCTTCATGTTTCTTGAGTTCTTCAAAAGTGCGCAGCTCCAAGTGGGCCTGTTCAATTTGGTCCCATAAATCATTCAACTGTTTCATGAGCCCCATAGCACGAGACTGGTAACCGCCAAGCAAAATTTTCATCTTCTTTTCCATCTTTGCGGCTCTCTTGGCTTCTGTTGTCATGTGACCCCTGTTTATCTCAAGTCTCTTTTCAAGGGATTCGATTCTGTCCTTTTTGCTGGCAAGATTAGCTCTTGTGTAGCGGCTCTGACCAGGAAGATACAGAACTTGACTGTAGCATTCTTCCCACACCTGGTTGTAAGCTTCACTGGAGAGTTCTCCGTGGCTCATTCCTTGTTTGACCACTTCCATCTCTTGTACCAGCACATCCTGGGCCTTTTTCAGTTCTTCTTTGGAGAACTTCTCATAAGGGCTATGCTCAAGATAGGTAATGTGCTCTGAATTGTTGGTAGCAAATCCAACAGTTTTTCCTTTTTTATTTCCAGATAGCTCATAGGGGTGATGTAGCAGGTCATAATGAAGCATAGTAATCATTTCTTTTTTGATCAATTCTTCACTCTTCTGTAAATCTGTCAGAGGTGGTTCTACATTTAAAGGTCTTAAAATAGTTTCATTTACTTCAGACGGTCTTGGTAGGTCTTTCTGAACAGCTTTGTGCATCCGTTTCATTTCCTTTACACGCTCAGCATCTCGTATGGCCTGCTTTCGAGCATCCACATCAGCAGCATCTTCAATGTAGGTATCATCTATTTCACGCTCTTCCAGCTCCTTCTCAGCATTTTCTGGTAGAACAATTTCAAAATCATTCTTAGGTGCAGGGAGGCCCAACAACCCTAGACGGAGATGTTCACGAGATTCTCTTTCCATCTGCTTCACATAAGAGGGGTCACTGTAGTCTGCCAGCCCATCCTCCGGATTGATGTTTAACTTGTCTCGAAGCGGTGTTCTACCTGGGGTGGCGTTAGGGACTGGCTTGGGTGTTGTTCCACTTCGGGGCGTCAGCCCTTCAGCTCCATTAGAAGGAGTCCTGAAAGGCGTAGAGAGAACTGTATTTGGAGTCTGTACAACCTGCCGCTGTGGGGTCACACCAGAGAAGTCACTCTCATGCAGTGGGGTATTCAGCCCACCTTTCAATGGAGTGTCCACATTGGTCAAGGCCATGAGGTTCTGAGCTTCCTGCAGAATCCTGTCTTGGGAGGCCGGTGTCCGCGGTGTTCTCAGGGCAATGCTGCTGTTTGTGACATTGTACTCAGACAGGAGAGTGCTGGAAGCCGAGTTTGTAATGCCAGACTCCTCTGCAGTCTGTCGAGCAACTTCACTGGCCTGGCCTACCTTGACAACCTCCTGGAGCTCTGCATCTGAAATCTGAGGGGCAGGCAGCACTAACTTGCTTCTCTTTTTAGTAAACTCCGAGACACCACTAGTTTGAAGAATAGCCGATGGCAGATCAGATTCTTTTTTCCTTTTTAAATGCTGTTTGTCTTTTTTTCTATCTCTTCCTTCTTTTTCAGATCTAAGTTCCCCATCAAGATCTTGCTGCCGTAATTTCCTGAAATCTGCATCAAGGGCCTGGTAGTTTTCCTCAGAAGTATCATAAAAACCAAGAGCAGGCTTTTTCTCAAATGGGATTTCGGCATTATAATCAACTCCTCTCTTCTTCTTCCTCTTCTTCTGGATCTCTATGCCAGCTGCTCGGAGCTCTCGTCTTTTCTGGAGGGCAGCAAGGCGCCTTGCTTCTTCCAGCTGCTTCTCTCTTGCTTTCCTCTTAGCCTTCTTTCCTTGAGTATTGGCCAGGCGGGCTCGAGCCTCAGAAAGCATCTCAAGTTCATCCTCATCCATATCAATTGGATCAGGCCGAGCTGGTTTTGTTTCTGGATTTGGATCTATCTCTCCAGGTTTAA